GACCGAATGGACCCATGCGATGAGTGAATGTGTGTGGACAGTATGGGCAATGGAGGTGGGTGAGCCTACTCCACACCAAGCACAGCACCACCCAAATATCATAAGTTATTCCGGCAGCAAGCATGTGATCTACCTTGCTATTGCCAGTGTGGCAGACGCGACATGCCCGAAACTGCGCACCCACGAAAGTATAAAATAAATTCTGATGTATCATGAAACATGAACTGATATCCAGGCCGTGTTTGGCCAGCGTGACGATTGAAATCATACCCCGCAGTCAGCCTAGTGTACGTTTGCGTGGAGTGGCCGACTGGTGGATTGGACGACATGAACAATGTCTCCTGTTTACTTAGGCTTCCATGGGACTCTGTCACAAATGAGATCCGAACGCTCAACCCCCTTTGTGTGAAAACGTGATGTGACGTGCGGGGCGGATCATGTGTGAGACGCGCTGACTGGCGTATGGGCAAGGGTATGGTTTGTACCCGAAATATACCTAATAATATACACGAGTGTCTACTTTATTTATTTAAGTAGGTGTTGTTCTGTCACGGTTTTCCAGTGTATCATTTAGCCCTTGGCTTTGATCTACGTGTTCCACCGGCATGTGCTACCGACCTTGCAAACTACCGCCCCGAGAACAAGGCCTTGCAGGAACGTCTGTATAGGCTTATTATTGCGCTCCTCACCCGGGCCTGTTATATGTCACGCGAAAGTTTTGCCCGCAATCTACTGCGTATCAGAGGCTGAGTATTTTGATATTGTTATATACAAATGAAGCGTTTTACAGCTCAGAAAATTGGTTTTTGTCTACCAGATCCATCGGGCTTATCCACTGCTCGTTTGCTTCACAGGGTTGACCTCCGCGATGTGGGATAGGAAGGTTTGTCATGACCGTTTTAGGCCGGTGGTCCAAACCATAGACGATACTGTATCTCGTCAATATGGGCCCAGACAGCTCGGTCTGGTACAAGGCCTCCTTTATGTAATTTTCTTTGCAGGCGGCTCCAGTACGTCTGTGTCTTATAGTTTGTTTTTGCGGCGGTCTGCGTTTAAAAAAGAATCAATTTATAGGTTACCGTTATTTAATACTACTGAAACTACCAGTTACTTACAAATATTGATGTTTACATCCACATGGGCAAATTGTTTTTCCGTGCCTTAATATTGAAATTGTGACCTTGTTTTTGTTCTGAAATCTACGTTATATTCCATGACTTATTTCCGATACATAT